TAGTCGGGGCTGGATCTGACGGGGGGAATGATGATGGAGCTTGAGGGGCTAGAGGAGCTTCCTGGTTGTTCGGAGCTGCCGCAGGCACCTCGGCGGCCTTGGCGCGGCCTCATCCGCCCAGGCGTGTGCCCGGCGGGACGGTGGCAGGCGTCTGGGAGCCGAGCCCGGCGGGGCCGCGTGCTGGCGCCGCGAGGGAGGGGGAGGCGCTTGCCGCCGTCGCTCAGCCGCTGGGACAGCGCCCGCCCAGGCGCCCTTCCTGGGCCCTGGCCCTGGCGCTCTCTGGCCCAAGCCTGGTCCAGCTTCGGGGCGCCTTGGGACGCGGCGCTGCGGGGAAAGCGGATGGAGAGCAATGGGTCCGGTCTCCATACCGCTCAGGTGGAGGCAGGGAAAGGAGGCTGTGGCGCGTGTCCAGGCAGAAGGAAGCAGAGGGCAGCCAGCCAGTGGATTAGAGGCCTGGGTGCAGGGATGATTGGGTGAATTATGCGATCACTGACTTCTCCTGGGACTTCCCTTTGTGGAGTTGGGGAGGGATCTGTGGGGGTGACTCAGGTTGCCGCCCTTGGTACCTATGGCAGGCTAAGAGTATTGTCAGAACAATGCGGTGGGGACATGGCTCCCAAGGTGAATCACCTCTCTTCTCTGCCACAGTTTTCTCTTTTAAAATGGGGAGTTTGGGGAGTACAGCACGGCATCATGCCCACAGAGATGAGCTCTGTAAATCTCCCGACCCACACTGCCCCCTCCGGCACAGTAACTCAGGGCTTCAGACCCCACAGGACTTTGCTGAACCCCCAGGGTGTACACCTTTGGTCTCTCCTCTCGCCCACCCCCACGCACCACCCCAGGAAAGGAACTGAGAATCTCCAAATTCACATTTCCGGGAAAGGTAGGCGGCGGTGAGGCCTAAAGCAGAACCACACCACCTGCTTTCCCACCAGGGGAGACTCACCACCTGACACCCAGCTCCCAGCTCTGGGTGCTGGACGCTAGGAGGCGTCTAGGAAAGGCCTTGTGTGTCCCACCGGCTCCTCTCTAGCAAAAGTGTGTGGAGGGGTTGGGAGGAGGTGGGGAGGGAGAGTCACCAACATGGAAGCATCTGAGTGCATTTCTCTCATATTAGGCCTAACCGTGTGCTCTGAGCTCTCTTCCACCCCAGACTCTAGGCGGTCCACACTTAAAGGTCCATAGCTCTGGCTCTGCCCCTATTTTGTGTTGTAACCTTGAACAAGTCCCTCTTCCTCTGCCGCCGGCCCTCAGCTTCTGGATCTGTATCTAGGAGCAAGGAAAGCCTTCAGGTAGCCAGCCCGTGTTCTCAGTTCCCTTTTGGGGGTGCAGGTTTTGCGACTCACGGAGACCCCAATTACCTTGGATTTCAAGGCCAGAGCCTATTCCCATCATCACCACTGCCACTGCCACCACCTCCACCTCCACCACCACCACCACCACCACCACCACCAACAACAACAACACACACACACACACACACACACACACACACACACCTTGAAACGCTTGCTCAAATAGAAGTGCCAACCAGTGAAGCCACGCATTATAGCAGCCCTATGCATTGGCTTCCGCCCAGGAGAAAAGAGAGCAGGCACTGGGATCCTTCTGGC